TATGGTATAAGAGCACCACAATTAATGATTTCCTTTTCTCTTTTGTTCATCATCGGCATTACTTTTATTCACATTTTTATACACTTTTATGATTTTTTCTTTTCATACATCTAATTCCATGCTTTCTGGGTCTGCGTTTCGTCTTTCAGTAGCTTGTATTTGCTCGCATAAATCATCAATCATCTGCATTCTTCTTCTTCTTAGTCCTTTCAGTCTTTCGATTTTACCTTCAACAACGTCGTGCAGCAATATAAGTCCGATTCAGTTTTCTTCACTATTCATGATCATGCTCAGTAGGGTTCTTTCTTCACCCACTCTTCCCAGCACTTCTTCATTTGTTATCTTGTCTACCAGCTTTATCTTCCCCATTCGTCTTTAGCACCATATTTTAAAATTCTCCAGATAGTTTATGTCGGCCTTAAAGTCTCTGATTTGTACAGAGCTATGCTCCAGGCATAACACTTTACTAGCCTCTTCTTCCACAAGTGGAACCTCATTTTTCTCGTCCATACGTTTCTCTTCCTCGTAAATGCGCAGACACCAGACCCTTAATATTGTTTATGTTGTGCCAGGTTCAAGTTATATATTATTCATAGTATTATCTTCTGATAATAAACACAGGTTAATATTTTTTAATATATAACTAGATTTAAAGATTTAATATATATATATATATATATTATATATATATCAGGGCCGGATTTAGAAATTTGGCGTCCCGGGGCACTGACAAAAATGCCGCCCCATCCCTGAAATTTTACAAACCTTTGAACTTTTTTTAAAGCAATCGCGCTGCTTCACCTGCGTAGGAACAAAATATAGGAGCGCGTAAGCGCCGCGTCGCAGTCTAACGAATAAACAATGTTATATAACCCATATAAATGTAAACAAAATGTATACTTATTATTAAAATATTTTTAAAATATCTGATAATTTGATGTGCATATGTCTTATGATCACTTTTGTCCACCAAATGTTTCTTTTTCAAATTTTTTTATTGGATCATCAAAACCGCTAAACCTGCCTCCCACAAATTTAAGCAGTTATTTATTCTATTTTTTTTTAATAATATTGGACGCTTATTTTCTCAACAACTAAATTATCATTATTGGCATTTTGGCCCGTATCTTCAAAACAGTTGGACCTGCTTTGGCCAATAACTAATCAGCACGTCTCCTTAACAATAGGAATTGAATCATTTAAATCGGTTGATCCGTGTTCACTTGAATAATTAAAAAGTATTAGATTTGTATTGATGGGGAGACGTGCTCATTAGTTTTTGGCACGAATTACTAAAAATGGTAATTGAGATTTGATATTTCTTCTCTGAAACAGCTACGCAGCGCAATTGCTTTGCAAAAAGTTTATAATTTTCAAAAAATTTCAAAATACAAAAAATGTGTTTTTTTTTTCATTTCATACAAAAAAGTCAATTTTTTTTTCATTTTCAATTTTAAAGCTTTTTATATAAGGCACAATAAAAATTAAGGCACAATGCCATGCGTCATTAGTTTAAATTTTTTTTCAACGCTATAAGCTTGGAAGTGCAGAAATTCATTATTTTAAGAAGGCTCGAGAACTGAAGAAAATATTTTTCTTAAACTTCCAGCTTGTTTACGGATCTTTATATTAGCCAAATTGACAAATTTGATAATGACTTATTAACCAATTTGATAATTTACGTTCGGAGAGGAAGGCAAGGCAAAATAATAAATTTTAATAATCGGTTAATTCAACCCAAATTTTGCATTGCAATCGTATTATGTTTTGTTAATTATATTTTTTGAAATGAAAAATGTCGTTAAAAAAAAGTTGATTATATTGTATAGAATTTTTTTCTCACTATCCAAATTTTGCCGCCCCCCAAAATTTGCCGCCCTGGGCAGTAACCCCGATTGCCCCTACTGTAAATCCAGCACTGTATATATATATATATATATATATATATATATATATATATTAGGTTTTTTTGTTCGATGTTGAGACATATCTTGAATAATGAATAATGAGCTGAAAATATATATATATATATATATATATGTATATATATATATATATATACATAGCTGGGCATTAACTCGTTAATCCGTTAATCGTTAATTAACGAAGTTAACATTTTGATTAACGGATTAACTTTTAAGTTAACTTTGAAAAATGTTAACGGACACGTTAACTTCCGTTAAAATGCGAGAAGTCCGTTAATCGTTAATCCAATGCCTACTATTTACCGCACGGCACAGCTTTAGCCAATGCCTTATTAAACGGCATAGAGAAAAGATTTGGACTACTCCTGAATGATGAACAGTGCCAACTTGCCGCGGCATTTCACCCAAAGTTTCGGTTAATGTGGCTGGAAACGTATGACAGGAAACGTAGAGAGGAATGCAGAAACTATAAACTATTGGACAAAAAAATAATTTTTTTTGAAAAAAAATGTTTTCTTTATTTTGACATATTTTGGAAGATCTGAACTTTTTTCAAAGCAATTTTACTGCCCTAGGACTGCATAGAGACAAAATATAAAGCGCGTAAGCGCCGCGTCGCTGTCTAAAGGATAAACATTGGTACGGAACCCATAGGAATGTAAATAAAATTTATACTTATTGTTAAAATCTCTATAAAATATCTGATAATTTGATGTGCATATGTCTAATGATCATTTTTTACTGCCAAATTGCATTTCCTTTTACTTTTTTTACTAGATCTCCGAAACCGCTAGACCTGCCTTCATGAAAATTTGATCAGTTCTTCATTTTGTTAATACAAGTAAATGTTTTTTGAATTATTAAAATCGGACGCTCCGTTCTTTTAAAAACTGAGTTACCGTTTTTGGCTCAATTTTGCCCCATATCTTCGGAACGGCTAGACCTGCCTTTGCCAAAAACTAATCAGCACGTCTTCTTATCAATACGAATCGAATGTTTTTTGAATTATTCAAATCGGTTGATCCGTGTTCCCGAAATCGTCGACGAAAATTTGTATCCGAATACACATACATACACACACACATACATCCATTTTTTCTAAGGTATGCTAAATATTCAAAAACCTTTGAAACGTCGAGAAAACCTTTGAAACGTCGAGAAATGCAAAACTTTCATTTTCGATTTTTTTTGCGATTACCATAACTTGCCCTACGGGAAGTTAAAAAAACTCTTTCCCTTTTTTAGAAAAAAATTCTTATAAAAACAATATGCAATCATAAAAACGGAAAGTTGACCAATAGCGTTATCACGGTATGTGATAATTGTGCCATTTTCCTTATACACACGGAAGTGTGCACAAAACGCGCGAGGGGTTAAATTACACATTTGAATTATACAAGTATTTTGTTTTATTCATAACCTGTTAACTTCCAGAACCTAAACTAATAAGTTTTTTAAGTTCACTAACGCAACGATATAAAAATGTAATTTTACACATATTAACGGATTAACGATTACGTTAACTTGCGTTAATTCTTCCGAAATGTAACGCTTTAACGTTTACGAAGTTAACTTTTTTTGTAGCGGATTAACGATTAACGAAGTTAACTATTTGATTAACGGTGCCCAGCTATGTATATATATATATATATATATATATATATATATATACATACTAGAGCGAGTCGATTTAAAAGTCGCGTAGGCACATATGATTAAAATAAGATCCTTTGCAGAAGAAACCATACATCTAAAATGAATTCTTTGTGGCGAGTTCGATGGTCGAATGGTAGCGTGTTCGATTCACACGACAGGGATCTTCGGATAAAATCCTGTCAATGACAGAATTTATGAAAAAAACATGTGTAGTTAATTTGAAATCAAATAAAAATTGTATTTGTTAAATAGAATTTGAATAAAAAATTAAGAAAAATGGGAATAACAGAATTCGAATAGTTGAATTGAATTAGGAGTAAGAAGAGAAATATTGGCACTTGAAAGAAAAATGAAGAAAAAAAAATGGAATGAAGCTGAAAGTTAAATAGAATTAGAAATTTGAAAAAAAGCAAAAATTGAAGAAAATAAGAAAAAGAAAAATTAAAAAGAATATAGAATAGGATACATAAATAGATTGAAAATGATATAAAAACTTAGAATGTAAATAAATAAAAATGTTGTAGGTGGCTAAATGCTCAGAGTAAGCAAGGCCAAATAAAAATTAATAAATAAAAAAAAAAAAGAATTCTTATGTCCCCTAATCTTATTGACCCAAAGATTAAGGTTTAAGTTTGAAAATTTCCGTTTTGGCCTATTTATTGTGACTCAATCGCGTCCAAATGTATGACTGACCCCACGAACTTCGAAGGGCCGATCCACCCATGCCCATCGTTCACCCCCTTGAACCTCCCCTTACAGATATCCCATACAAAAATTGCAAAAAATCATATTTTTTTTTGTATTTTACTCTGCAAAAAATGTGTTTTTAAACCTTTTTCGGATATTAATTCATACACACACAAAAAACTTTTTCAAAAAAAAAAAAAAAAAGATTTATTAAAATTTTTTGTTTCAATTTTTCCAATGCATTTTGTCTCTGCGTTTCTATGCTAAAATGAAACCAAAATGATTTCAAGCATTAATTTAGTTTTACATAGTTTTATTTGCATATGTTATGACCAAATAAATTTTATAATAACGGGGGGTGAACCACGACGACCTAAGCTAGAAGGTTCCAAAAAAAAACAAACATAACTTTTCACAATATGCTCAAAAAAAATATAACGTAAATATTTTTTAAAATTATCTATGCATATGATTAATTTAATGTATATATATATATACATAATAACTTCTCAGTTTTATTAACATTGTCACTTATAATTATAATATTGTTGTAAAAAGTAAACGTAAAACAAATCTTAATACTAGAACTGTTTCTATATTTTTGAAACAGTTAAGTGATTTTTCATTATTAAACTATTAATTCAAGCTGTGCCAGTTTTAGACACATTTTTTGAATAGATTTTTAAATACAATTTTATTTAATAAAATATTTACATTTTTACATTAGGCGCTAAAATTAATAATTTCTCTTTTAATAATAATATTTAGGTTCCTATTTACTAGTACGTAATTTATGTATCATGTATGTCAAATAAGTCGCAAGCACCTTCGTGATAGTCCAAAGAAAAAAGGTAGTCTCTTCTGCTGGGTGGAGGGCTCAAGTTTACTATAGAAGAAGCGGCTAAAAATATAACATAGTTAGTAATACTTGAAATCAACCTATTATGCCACCAATTATGAAAAAATTCTAAATGTTAAATGAGTTAGTTACTTACTTTTAACTATGTTAACATCACACCAAAAGCCACTAAGTACTTGCTTATTATAAAACAAACAAGCGAGCTACCAAATAACAAATAAAAAAAGTATAATTGCATAAAGCTTATTGAGGTTGCTAGATCTTACGCTATAATTAATAAAGCAAAAATAATTTGTTAAATACAAATATGTATGGTGAACAATAAAAAAATTGTATATAAAAAAAAAATGCAATAGCATTTCACAATGCTTACAATTCATCAAATTTATATGAGGTGATGAATATTGCAGCCGAGCATGTTGCTGTCTTTTTGAAATATATAAAAATGCATTTACCTATTGCCACATAAGAATGAGATGGAGCATTGCTATGTTATTTTTAATGATCCATAAATTCTGACTTTAGTTAGTTTATGAAAATAAAATGGTAATATATCAATTATGCAAGTTTTGTAAATTAACATTTTAGGGTTATTTAATTTGCATATTAAATAAGATATTTCACACAAGTTAGTAAGCACAGAAATATAACATACAATAAAAATACATTAAGTGTATGCGTGCATACATACATACATACATACATATATATATATATATATATATATATATATATATTTAATTTAAAAAAAAATACACACTACATCAATTTGAATACATTGATATACTCATACATTTGAATCAGCAATTTCACAGCAGAGTAACGATGAGCACAAGCAATTTATCAATTACCATACTTAGCTTACTTGTTAGTAAGATACATTTTTTACTAAAAAAAGAATTACGCATCGAGTAATAGTCATTTTTTTGTTCAATAAAATTCAGTTAAGAGTTGGCAATATAAACAAATGATGTCTTGAATTTCTTAACTTCTTATCCCATCCCAGAGACCCTAATGACTAAACCACCAAAGCATATGCAGATAGCAATAACAAACAAAATCAAAACTACAAAACACTCAAACACTTGTACATTCTAGATAGCACACTATTATATGAACACAACATGAACTACTCATTGTAAACAATGCCAATGCAATAAGTTAGTAAATAAGCAATGCGCATAAATTAGTAGTATATATTAAAAACAAAAATTATATCTTCTTTTATAAAGAGAATTAATACCTAAGCATTAATATCTTTATATCGATAACTTTATAAATGATTGGTCCGATATCAAAATTTTCATCATCACTGCAGTTTGCAGTGAGATCATATTGGAATGCCAAGCGATTGTATGATGCCAATGATCTTCTTGTGCTCACGGATTGTCTTAATCGGGCATTTTTTTTTATTACACTTTGCCTTTTTTCGCTTAAGTTCTGTAAATACACTTATTACTGGCTTGCAGGTCTTGTGGCATTTTAGACTATGAATAGAGTGGTGAATTTAACCTCAATCGATCCACACATAATTCACACAGTTTAACTTACCACCTTAAGGGGTTTCAACCACTGTAGATTTTTCGAAAAAAAAAACAAAAAAAAATTTTTAGGCTTAAAACAACTTTGAACCTTATAGAATATGAGAAAAAATATTTCATACATAAAACTTTCTTGTTTTACTTGTAATTATGAGCTTTTACCCATGCGCGTTGGGCAGCTCCGAATTGACACCGCTCAAATACATGAACAAAAAACATTATAAAGCAAAATTACAACATGTATTATCTTGAATGTACTATTATATATGATTATTAAACATTTATATTGTATAAATAAACTGTAAAAGCATTTTTAACCAATAGATGATCAGTGCAGGGTCAACACATATAAGGGTTGACTATATTGTGGCTGATATTGCTGGGGATAATTTCAACGATAGTCTAAACTATATTTTGTAAATAATAATAGATTTGGAGATTAATATTGGCATCTAAACATGTAATTTTTGTTTTAAAGTCGATTATAAACCATATAAGCATAAAATCATCAAGGGAAGAAAATAAGTAAGGAATTTTAAAAATAAAAAGGCATTTGTATGTTGCTGGGATATCAGATTAATAGTAAAATAAATTAAACTGACAATTTTTTATTTGTTCTTATCTATAATTTATTTCAGAACTTTAAACGCGTTTTTCTCGAAACACGATTTTACAACGCGGCACGTAAAATAACTACAACAATTTGATTTTTTTTTCATTCGAATTTTTAGTATATTTAAAATTACATTTTTTAGTGCCCATAATAGCTAAGCGCCTTCAATTTATTTTTTTTACAATTATATTTTATTTTGTTACTTTAAAGTACAATAAATAACTATCTTTAATATTATAATTTTATTACTTTTCCTTCTGCCCGAAAAAAAATTGGCAAAAACATACGTTTTTTTTTTGGTGCTACAGTGGTGTAACCCCTTAAAGACAAATGCCTGCTGTTGAAATTCAATAAAAATTTGCACAATACACATGATTGATTTGATGGTTCCCAATTGAAATGTTAGGAAACGAATAACTGGTTCGTTATTCGGTAATAATGCCGGTAATTAAACCGGTAATAATGCCGGTTTGTCACATGAAATTAACTGAGCAGAGAACAATGAGTAGCTATCAAACAAATGAGTAGCAGTCACACAAAAAATATTAGTTCATAGTACATACTAAGTATCAGAGATGACGCTGTATGTGAAAAAAAAAAGTATTTTCCGCTTTTCTGATGAAATCTTTCTTCAAATTTCTTTGTTATAAACCTTTCAACAAATGCAAAATCATCGAAATCGGCTCGTGCGTTCTGAAGTTATATCATCAGGAAGGAAAACCCGACTTATTTTTATATAATAGATATATGTTTTATAGAGCTTCGAACAAAGAATCTGAAAAATAATAAAAAACAAAAAAGTTTTTTGGAAAACCATACCTTTATTTATTTACTGTCGACGTTTCGGAACCAGGTACGTTCCATCTTCAGGACATCATCAATTATATATTATCATATAATTCACTCATTTATATTTATCATTTTAATTTTGATTATATTGTGATGTTTCTGTACATTATTTTCCCACAATTTTATTTATTTTATATAAAAAAAATCCACCATCTTCTGATTTTCTTAAACATATTGTTTGCTTAAACCTTATCAAGATCATGTTTCCTGGCAGATGTCCTGAAGATGGAACGTACCTAGTTCCGAAACGTCAACAGTAAATAAACAAAGAAATGTTTTTTTAAAAAACTTTTGTGTTTTTTAACAATTTTTGGATTCTTTGTTCAGATCTCTACAAAATATTTACAAATCCAAGACTCTACCATCTAATATATATATATATATATATATATATATATATATATATTAACATATGTAATAGCATACTTCTCCACAGCCTTCATTTTCTGCAGCTTCATCGTCCATAACTTTATCGCAAGACAAAAGCATTGCAGTAACAGGTTCTGTTCCTGCTACTACATGTATTTTGTTCTCATCTTCTTCTTCAAACTAAAATATTTAACTACAATTATTCATCTTGCATCATGCTAGTTGATTATAATAGCAAGTTTCATAAACATATTTAAACATGTAAATACATGGTCTGTTCAAAAAGTACCCGGAATTACTAATAATTAAATTTCGCGGGTCTGGAGTGTCTGATTGTCAAAATTTTTTTTTATTGTGTTGGTATACATGCCCCTAAAGTATGATGAAATTTTCAGCTATATTCACTGTTTACTTTGTCTGTGGTAGTCGCTAAGGTTCGACGTGTTTTTCTGAGCTCGGCGATTTTTACAATGGAAGAATTGAAAAAGTCAAAGAATTTGTATTAAATTTTGCGTAAAAAATGAAATAAAGTGTTGCAAAGTGCAAAAATTCACCAGATATGGCTCCGTGTGACTTTTTCCTATTCCCAAAGTTGAAGAGACCCATGAAAGGACGGCGGTTTTCCTCGATTGAAGAAAATCGCCGAGAGTGCTCAAGGACATATCAAAAAGTGAATATCAAGGGTGCTTCGAAAATTGGAAAAAACGCTGGCATAAGTGTATTATATCTGGGGGGGACTACTTTGAAGGGGACCACATTAATGTAGACGAATAAATAAATATTTTTTTGAAAAAAACGAAAATTACGAAAACTTTTTGAACAGACCTCGTATGTTCGATAGTAAATATAAATGTATAGGTATTTAAATCAACGCTGCAAATTAACAAAGGATGGATTAAAATTCAGAATAACTGACATGATGCAAAGTAAGTAAATTGAAATATAAATCTTTTTATTCTAGTCCGTACTCAAAAAAAAATATTAATATTCAATAAAGGTACAAAGTACTAAGTTAAGAATGCTGGCTTCTTTAGAAAGAATGACACTTAGTCTTCTATAAACATATAAATTGTCATTACAATAATTAAAATGTTATTCTTACTTCTGCATCTACTTCCAACTAAACTTTCAAAATAATCTCTAGAAAAAATGTAGAAAGTTTAAATGTTTACATCTATCACTAATAAGAATTGGAAATTCCAGATCAGCATGAACTAGTAAATGTATTAAAGTTGATTTAACAAGATCGTTATTTAATAATAATTATAATGTTTAAATCATGTTTTTTTGCTTATACTGGAATTGTACCAAATAATTAATAATCTAAATTTAATTACTTACATAAATTGAAGAATATACATTGACATTGGCATCATCATCTCCCCGCAGAACGATAACCGTCTCATCGTCAAAGCATTGTAGTATGTCATTTGAAGTGACATAAGTGTAAGGGATATTATCATTACATTCCAAAATATTTTTAACACTTTGCATGGCCCATCTTTTATGTCTATAAAATATAAAAATAACGAAAATTAAAAATATAACCATGTTTATGGACATTAAGAATATACCTATCAAGTTGTTTTTCTTGTTCTTCAAGCTGGCTAATTTCAATTTTCAACTTATTCAATCTTTCTGTAGCCTCTATAGAATTACATCCAGGGCCTGCTCCCCTGAAATAAGTTTATTAATATTAATTCACCGCTATTACGCACGAATTCAAAAAATATAAATATATTTTTTTACTAACTTCCATCTAATACTGTTCTTACTCCTTTTTTCGATTAAACCTATTCCTTCTAAAACATTTGTTATATCATATATTCTCCTCTTCTGGCGAACTGCTAATAAATCCGCGGCCTACATAATTTAAAATTGGTTACATTTTATTATTTGTCAAAACACAAATGCTGGTAAGGTTAGGTGTGGCGGGCATTATAAGACAAACACATCGAAATAGCCCTCTTACCAATTTTAAGTCTAAAACTCCATCCTTTGTTTTTTGTAATAATCGTTATTTAATAATAATTATAATGTTTAAATCATGTTTTTTTGCTTATACTGGAATTGTACCAAATAATTAATAATCTAAATTTAATTACTTACATAATTGAAGAATATACATTGACATTGGCATCATCATCTCTCCCGCAGAACGATAACCGTCTCATCGTCAAAGCATTGTAGTATGTCATTTGAAGTGACATAAGTGTAAGGGATATTATCATTACATTCCAAAATATTTTAACACTTTGCATGGCCCATCTTATGTCTATAAAATATAAAAATAACGAAAATTAAAAATATACCATGTTTATGGACATTAAGAATATACCTATCAAGTTGTTTTTCTTGTTCTTCAAGCTGGCTAATTTCAATTTTCAACTTATTCAATCTTTCTGTAGCCTCTATAGAATTACATCCAGGGCCTGCTCCCCTGAAATAAGTTTATTAATATTAATTCACACCGCTATTACGCACGAATTCAAAAAATATAAATATATTTTTTTACTAACTTCCATCTAATACTGTTCTTACTCCTTTTTTCGATTAAACCTATTCCTTCTAAAACATTTGTTATATCATATATTCTCCTCTTCTGGCGAACTGCTAATAAATCCGCGGCCTACATAATTTAAAATTGGTTACATTTTATTATTTGTCAAAACACAAATGCTGGTAAGGTTAGGTGTGGCGGGCATTATGAAGACAAACACATCGAAATAGCCCTCTTACCAATTTTAAGTCTAAAACTCCATCCTTTGTTTTTTGTAATAAGGAAACAAAACGAGTAGTCAATAGTCCGAGTGATTTTTCGTATCTTGATTTAGTTTCTGACATTTTACGTGAGATATAAAAATATTTACTTTGATAAATTCAAACTACGTGCACAAAGCCTCCATTTCCAAATAAAATTTGACAGGGCATCCATATTAAAGAAATTGACAGGCTTGGAATTTGACAGTGAATCGCCATTATCGGGCTCGTGTATTGGCAACGTAGCAAAAAGAGAGGGGATTTGAATTTTGAAAATCATAACAATTCGATTAGAAACTCGAGATCCTCATATCCACACACACTGAAATGTTTATTTATTTATTTATATTTAGATTAGATTCATAATTACAATTGCATATTTATATTTATGATTAGATTTATATTTACGATTAGATTTGTATTTTCGATTATATTTATATTTAAATATATATATTTATATTTATATTTATATTTATATTTATATTTATATTTCCTTTATATTTCTATTTATAATTTCTATTTATCTTTTATTTCTATTTATCTTTATCTTTCTACTTTCTATTTCTCTTTATCTTTCTCTTTCTCTTTCTCTTTTTTTCTTCTTTCTCTTTCTCTTTCTCTTTCCTCTTTCTCTTTATTTTCTCTTTCTCTTTCTCTTTCTCTTTCTCTTTCCTCTTCTCTTTCTCTTTCTCTTCTTCTTTCTCTTTCTCTTTCTCTTTCTCCTTCTCTTTCTCTTTCTCTTTTCTCTTTCTCTTTCTCTTTCTCTTTCTCTTTCTCTTTCTCTTTCTCTTTCTCTTTCTCTTTCCTCTTTCTCTTCTTTTCTCTTTTCTCTTTCTCTTTCTCTTTCTCTTTCTCTTTCTCTTTCTCTTTCTCTTTCTCTTTCTCTTTCTCTTTCTCTTTCTCTTTCTCTTTCTCTCTTCTCTTTCTCTTTCTCTTTCTCTTTCTCTTTCTCTTTCTCTTTCTCTTTCTCTTTCTCTTTCCTCTTTCTCTTTCTCTTTCTCTTTCTCTTTTCTCTTTCTCTTTCTCTTTCTCTTTCTCTTTCTCTTCTCTTGGTGTGCTTCGCCCCCGCCCTCCCCCTCCTCCCTACCCTCTTTTTTTTTTTCCTGTGCTTCCTATGTTCTACGTTTCGAAACTATATCCGTGATTAATTGTCTACGTTTCGAAACTATATACGTTCCATTTTCAGGACATCTGCCGAGGCAGAGAACACGTAAGAATGAAAGTAAAAGTTTAAGAAGTAAAATATTAACTATTAACGAGGGAGAGAACTTTCACTTGAAAATATCTGATCAAAAATGTGTTTTCAAGCGTTTTCATTCCATTTCTTGAGTAGGACAATTGCCTTCTCATAGCTATTAGTAGCATATTTTGTAAGAAAGCGATTTGGAATGGAATTCCAATCATAAGGAAAAATGAATACCCATTATGGGGTTTGGTGATCTATGTTCAATCGTTATAGTGTGTGTGTGTAAAAAGTTAGATTATCACATCTTCTAGAAAAAGTATTGGAAAATGTATCGAAATGAAACGCAGTAAATTCAACAATATGGAGAATTACTAAATAACACAAAAATTAAAAGCGAATACTTGTAAAAAAAAAAAATATTTACATTTTTTAAAGTTTGGTTTATAATATGACCTAGTGGTTTATTTTTTATAAACTAACATATTTCCAGGTTTATCAAAGTTATATTTTTGCTCTTGTTTTTGCTTAGTATATTAATAATATAAGAATCTTGTTCTTATACTTAATAATTTAATAAAAGTAAATTAATAATAATAGTAGCAAATAATTTAATAAAAGATAATGTAACAAACTTAATTTTATTTGTTTATTATTATTTTACAGAATATTTACTTAAAACAAATAACAGAAATATTTCAAATTTGGAAGACACCTTACTGGAAGACTATTTTGTTATACTTACATACACTTATATATAATTCAAAACATTCATTTTTTTAAATAGATTTTAAAATATATTTTTACCTCATTTTTTATATCTCTATTTTTAATAGATTATATTTCACATAATTTTAACTTAATTATTATCATTATCTATATGGAAGACTTTTCAATGAGCTACTGTTATTCATAAATGCACACAGTTGTAAAATTTAAAATAACTAATGAATTAAGTATACTATTTGTGTTTTGCCCCTTTTTTTAAATTATAAGAATTTAAATGCTTTTAGGAATCTATTATCTCTAAAAATCAAAACTTAATACAATAAAATTAGTCGCCCATTCAATCGATCGTATGTAATTACCCAGATCAAAAAATATAAAATATTATTGTGTTTAGCATCTGAAGCATTATTGTCATGGATTTTTATTTTTATATTATTTGCTTTCTTGCAATGCTTTGCGGAATATATCAAGGAATATATCGGCGTGATGTTCTTGGAAGACTAATGCGGGCCTGAGTCTTATAGAATATTCTCCGCAACCACCTGCTTGAACACCTAAAATAAATGAAATCTAATATAGTACATCTCTAGATATTTTAACAAAAAAATGATACAAAAATCTACATTAATTTAGTTTCGTAATCCGTCGAATCAATACTTATTTCTCCATTAACACACTTTCTGCGGGCCGGGTATTGGTACCTGGTTTTAGGATTGTCATTCAACTGCGGGTGCGGGTATTTTCGGGTACTCGGTCGGACACGCTAGATGCGAAGAGCGAACGAAATTTCGTACTATGAGCGGTTGCAACGCTAGTTTTATATTTATTATAAAACTATAATAAAATTATAATTTATTCTTTAAAATGATTTTCGATACGTAAATACGTATATATTACATAAATATATGGTATTTTATTAAAGACGATATGTTTTACGTCAGCATTTTTGGTAATCAAACTATTTTTTTTAATACTATATTACCATTTATATATTTTGCTATCTTTGTATTTATTGCGTTTCGATAATTCATATAATTTAATTTTCAAATACAATGTTAAAAATAAGCTATTACATTTTTACAAGCAATCGAACGTAGCTTATAAAATCATATTATTATTTATGTAATTAACTATTAGGTTTGTCACTAATTTATACACCATAAAAATCAATTTCGTATAATATTAAAAACAATCGAATTTTCAACGTAAAACTCTAGATTGTATATAGTATGATTATAAGTGATAAAGGTACTTTATACATGATTGGAGAATGGAATTACTTTGTCTAATTTACGTACCTGGCAACAGGTAATTTTATCAAATACAGTATCCGGCGAGTAATAAAACTAATTCATTAATTTACTGTTGAATGACGAATTTTCGCAATGTTTTTCAATTGTGCTTGGATTAGAGGTAATTTGAAAATGTATGATATCGTATTTTATTATCCAATTTCTTTTATTTGAAAGAATTTAATGGAATTAAATGTATTTAATAACCTGTTACTTCCTATTACCTAAATAAATATTCAAATTTATATTTAAAATTTAATTAAAAATATTTATCATATTTAAAACAAGCATTTAAGCAAAAATAGTAAAATATAGTATTCTGATTAGAATGGCTTGCGAAGCAAAGTCAGGCTACATATGCAATTTAAAAATTTACTATGAAAATGGCAATAGTTTACAGAGAACTATATTAGATATATTAGAACCTTATTTAAATTTGTGGCATCATGTATACATGGACAATTTTTATAATAGTGTAAATACAAGTTTATTATTACTACAAAATAAAACTAGGATTTGTGGGACTATAAGAACAAACAAGGGCCTTCCTAAAGAATTTAAAAATTTGAAACTTAAAAGAGGAGAGACAATATTTAGAAGACGCCAAGAAGTTTTGTTGCAATGCTTCAAAAAGAATAGTCCAAATGATTTCTACAATTCTAAACTTATTGCGTAAAAATGTGTAGTGTATAATCGTGTAAAAAACCTACCTATAGCAAACTTTTCTTTGTATTTTGATTAATTGATTTTTATGATTAAATTCATTTTTTTATTTCAGAGACTAAACTTATGACGTAAGAAAACGTATAGAAAATTTTTCTGTGTATTTTGTTTTAATTTTTTAGAATTAATTACATTTTTCATTTCATTGCCTAAACATATGTATCATTGCGTAATAAAATTCAACTTTATTTGCAAATATTTTACCTTCAGTATTGATAGTTTTACCTCATAATAACTTAATATTATAGTATTTACTACTGCGTTTGAATTTGGGCAGTAAGTATTGTAAGTAAAAGACTGTGCTTTCATGCCATGCTTACGCATTCGCACCGTTGTAAAAACCCCGCTACGGGTACAAGTTAGCCCGAAATCCTATCCGCCGAAAGTGTGTTAATATACTCATACCTTTTACTTTTAAGCGGTTCACTAAGTCATCTCTTATTTTCGGCTTTGGACAACTCATTGCCAAAAAGGTTCCTCTGCCTCTGACAGAATGAATCAATTCAGGAAATTCATTTTGAAATTGCAACAATCCTTCTTTCAATTTATTGCCAGTCTTCTCGACTACATTCAAAAGTTGATTACGTTTGATGACATCCAGAATACCTTCCAATAGTAGGACCTTGCCGGGGTCTCCCATCCAAGTATTAAAAACTCGGTAAGCTAGCTTAGGTCTAGAATAAATAATTATGACATCTTCTGCAAATAAGTAAAATATAGTGCCAATATATTTTATAAAAATTTAATGCCTTACTTCATTTCTTCTGTGTGATAGTATCCGCCAATTTGCATCTTCTTGCTAAAGGTTACAATATCTGGTGGCGACTCTAGATTGAAATGTTCGTGACACCACATTTTTCCCGTTGGACCACCACCAGTTTGTACTTCATCTATTAAATATGATGCTCCGTACTGAAAACAATGATTAAATGCAATGATTAAATTTATCATACATTTTATCAGCTTCATTATATATTTCATTTACGAACCTTTTTGGCAATCGCTTGAAGTCCCCTAAAGAATTCTGGTGAAGCTTCATTGTCTCCACCTTCTGATTGAATAGGTTCTACCACAATACCGGCTACAGGAATATCCTTTTTCTTATATTTCACCATTAAATCCTCTACTTCGGCCAGACATCTGCATCAATATTGTAAGATAGAAATAGTGATTAGAAAAGATTAATTTAAAAAAATCACCAAAATTAACACACACAAAATTTTAAATAACTACACCTCTAAACTTGCATTTGCATTTCTAACTGCATATATAATTTCAAATAATAAATTAATTTGATAATATATTGATATAAAATTAATTAATTAAATTTGAAATTAGTAGCTTTACCGTTTATCTTCTTCGGCATTCTCGCGTTGGTTTTCTTCCAGCGGATACTTATAGACAGGAAATGAAGCTATTGGCCAATCAAATGATGGTACGTCCATTTTGTGAATATATTTCGAATGAGTAGTCGCCAAAACACCGATTGTCCGTCCGTGAAAAGCACCCTAAAAAGAAAACAAACATGGGTCTGACTTTTGGCCACCTGTGAGCGGCTCACTGAACAAACCGCACGCCATTCGGCAATCTTTTGATTCGGTCGCCATTTGATTCGGCCTTTTGTGCGCGGTGCAAACAAACCGCACGCAGGTGGCTGCGCAAAAGCCGAATCAAAAGGCGGTCAAATTAAAACTCGGCCGGATTTCACATATTTAGAGACGATATTTTAAAAGCTAGAGAGCGCTTTTTTTAACTTCTCGTAGGGTAATTTATAGTAATCGCCAAAAAATCTAAAATGAAATTTTTGTATATTTTCACGTTTCAAAAGTTTCTAAACATTTTGGCATACATTAGAAAAATTTGATGTATGTATTTGTGTGTGTGTGCGTGTGTACGGATACAATTTTTTGTCAACGTTTTCGGGAGCACGAATCAATCGATTTGAATTATTCAAAAGGCATTCGATTCCTATTGATAAAGAGACGCGTTGATCAGTTTTTGGCAAAGGTTGGTCCATACGCTTCGGAGATACGAAGCAAAAATTACAGAAAATGGAAATTAAATTTTTGAGAGAACGAAGCATCCGATTTGAATTATTCAAAAAACAATTCACTTCTATTGACGCAATGAATAATTGATTGAATGTTTGCAAAGGCGGGTTTAACGGCTTTGGAGATCTAGAATAAAATGTTTAAAAAAATGCCATGTGGCAATCGACAATCAGATATTTTTAGACAGACATTTTTATGCATCAACCGACATGATTAATTTTCAAAAAAATTCAAAACAAAAAAAAACAATTTAGGTTTTCAAAAAATTTCTGAATTTTTTAAAAAATGCAATTTTTTAATATTCAAATATTTTCAAAATTTTCAAAAAAAATCAAAACTTTATAAATAATCTAATTTTTCATTTCGGGGCCTTTAAAAATTTTAAATTACGGTACTGGAAGTTCAAGCAATTTGCCTTAAGGCACAATGCCCATGCACCACTAGTTGTTTAGAAGAATAAAGTACATTAAAAGCGATAATTGACAAAAGTGAATTTGTACTAATATGATTCCATCAATTGTTTTTAGAAAAAAAAAACGAAAATGGCTTGGAAGATTACGTAGAACATAAAAGTAATGCCGGCAGATTCATACTATTCCGGTACTATACTGGAATATATTCAAGATAAACGAACTGGATAGAATATGACGATATGAAAAAAAAAGATTTTAAAATTTTGAAGTTAATTCCATCACTAATAGAGGAAAAATGCCGCAAAATAAAACACTAATCCATTTCAACAATTACATAAACTTTATGACTAAAGTTCACATATTATAACTATTTTTTTTTAACGACTCGATGAAAAGTAATCATATCAAACCAATTCCAAACTGTTTTGTCTTTTGTCAAATAGCATTTAAATTTCCAAACTAATTATAAGAATATTCAATAAATCTTGTTCACTAAATCAATAAATCACTAATTACAAGAAAATGGTTAATAAATTACCTTAAAAGAAAGGATGCTAAGCTTTGGCGCTCCTGGTGGGTTATTAATCATGCAGGATTCCATCTCTTCTTGAGTGAAAGTAACATTTTCACCGCGTTCTTTTTGTCTGTATCGGATAAACATATTTTTGTAGGCATTTTCGTTAGAACATGATCCACACATCATAGTAGTAATATGAGTTAATCCAGGAGGCGCCACCTAAGAAAAAAAACGCCATCAAAGAAAAAAAACAACAATACTAATTAACTATAAATTATTAAGATTTTACTTGTTAGAAATTAAAAACCTTATGTTTCCAATGTACTTAACAATAAATTAATCAGTGTTGCACAACAATGACAATTATATTGTTACAATTAAATATCAACTATTCGTTTTATCGGAAACAAATATGGCAGCAATCGACGTAAGAGATTATACTATAATTATGATAAAAAAATAAAATTATGTAAATCAGATCTTACACTCATTAAAACATTTTTTAACAGCTTTGGCCATTCTGCGCCCGGAAACACTCCAAGAGCAGGACGATTTATCAGAGTTCTCTGTGAAAGGAATTAAGTACAATTTTAGTTATTTAAAATTCAAATTTACTGCAATTTGCAATAAACTTTACTTTAAACTTACCACTTTATTTGGATCATCAAAAATCTTCAACAGATCTGGATGGTTATACCCAAGAGGCATGGACGAAATTTGGGTGTAGACATCGAGAAGCAAATTTCCATCAACATCAGCCAAGTAATTTCCAATTGATTTGTTATAATCTGCAAATAGCTGAACTGATCCGACTTGCTACGTTGAAAGAAAATTGAAATCAGTCAGCAAAAATATAATTATAATCAATAAATATAAATTTATATTAGGTAATGTTTTTGTATAGATAAAATATTGTTGGTCATATTTTTATAATACTGTAATATAATAATAATTAATTTATTCATTACAAATTAATGTACGTGAGAAACTGACTTTGAATTCACTCATATAGAGCAAAAATGTACAAATTAGAACTTATACACAGGATTCTTGATCAAACATCCCTCAAGAATTATTAATTCATTCCTTTACAATGGAATAAGATAAAAAATAACATTAAATGTATGTGCAAATGCCAAAAAGTTAAAGAGTTTATATAGCAAAATGTTATTATAAACGCTACAAATTAAAAAGAAAGAGAGAAGTATGGTATTAAACTTGTTCAATAAGAATCCCATACCAAAACCTAACACACGTGATTAATCTATAATTTTTTTAATTAAATATGAATCTGTTTAAAGAAAGAAAATTAATAAAGTTATTCATTGGCATTAGAATTTTCCAACAAATTGACATTCGAATTAACAACAATAAATGCGAAGAACATTAATACATGCATATTTATTGTTGTATATTCTAATAATTACATCAATTTAATTAACTTGTAAAATAAAATAAAAACTGATGCACCACAAAATTGCAGGAAATTCCGTTTTCTGTTCCTATGAACAAATATTAAGCATATTAAAATTTGAAATCTGTAAAAAATGTTAATTTTATTTTGGGTTTTGAAATTTTGGATAATAAAAGATAGAAAAGTAAAAAAATGTCATATTTTAAGTTTTTAGCAAAACTCACAGATAAATATTCTTTGTTTCTCTCACTTGTCTCTCACTTGAAAGCTCGTAGAATACTATTTAAGTTAAAAATAAATATTAACGTAACGAGAAGAAATTAAAAACAATTTTTATAAAATTAAAAGATACTATAGATATAGTAGTGAACATCCACAAATCAATAAAGTTTCACATCCTACAAATTCAGGAACTCCCTCGGCATATTAAATGTTTAGATCTTTTTTCACCGGTTTGTCAAATTGGGGTATATTAGGAAATTTCTTTTCCAGATGTTCTGTATTTATTTGAATATTGTTCTATCATCATGCTTCGTATTGTGTGTGTTAGGTACCATCAGTTCTAATATTTCTAAATTGATTTAAATTGATACGGGCTATAATCACGAGTTCTGAACTCCGGTGCAGAACTCGTAAAATTCTGACTGTGACATTGAGAACTGACTTACACTGGTTTAATAAAGACCACAAAAAAAATAAAAATAGTTTTATTCATTGACTTGTCTAATGCATATACATTAACATATAGTTTTGCGTTGTTGTTTTTACCTATCCTTTATTTCATTTATAACGAAAATGCATGTTTCCACAGAAAAAAAGCTTATATGCACTTGATTGATAAGGAACCCTTGGACTATTTATTTCTAAAAAAATGATTTTTACGGACTGTAGAATATAATCACAAACCATAGTTTCTGGCAATATTTAAAATAGAAATTGTGCTCAGGGCCGTCTTGTTATTAATTAATTACATTAATTATTCTAACTAAACGAACAGGACGATGAGCAGGATATTCCCTGATTCAAACTCTTCAAATTTTGATGCAAACGACAACTTATTTAAAAACGCACAATTTAATTATATATATATATATATATATATATATATATATATATATATATATATATATACATATTAGAATATGTATTGGAAATAATCAGCTAACATTTTCAAGAATATGTTTAGACATTTAACACAAAAAACTTGATATATATATATATGAGTGTGTATGATTGTAAATACAGGAATTTGCAAATTATTTCAAATCTCATATGCAACATCAATGAAAGGTTGGTCAATGAAACCGGTTTCGTTTCCATAGCAAAGCAATATTCTAAAGGTAAACATATTTGCTATTAAATATTTCTTGCTATTAAAAATTGGCCTATATGTTTTGTCAAAAAATAAATGGTTTAAATTACCTCTGCACTACACTACATCAAAATTTTTTACACGTTGAGCTTACAAAGTTTAAGCATATATTTTTGCTTAACACCTCTCAACACCTATTTTAAATTCACAATGCAACTAAATTAAAACTAATTTCTTGGTCTAATTGATTAGATAATGCTAAATTTTTAATTTGCATTATATTCCTTGCCATGTAATATTAATAAAGAGATGAATATGTTACATAATTATGTTTGTGAATAGAATAAAGTGAAGTTTATCTATGTTTATTTCAATTTATGGATATGCAAATTGTAATGTGCATAACGTTTTACAAAATTTTATTTTTAATTTTTTTTGTTATCAACTAATTGAAACTGATTAACAATTGAAATATTATTTCAAATTGCATTAGGAGAATGTAGCTCCAATTATAATCACACACACACATATATATACAATATATATATATATATATATATATATATATATATATATATATATATATATATTTTGTATGATTCTGAATTTGATGTTGACATATGTATTAACAAAGTCTAATAATCGGGCATAACATCAATAAAAAACATGAATTTCTTTAACACTAAGTGTTAACACTAAGATCAGCTAATTGTAAGTACTATTTACTATTTTATTTTTTCTTTTCACTCCAATTCAATTGTTTTAGTTTTTAATTTTATTTTTAGTTTCCACTGAATGAAAGCTAGGATTATAGCCGAAACGTATGGATTTAAAATAAATTTTTGAAAGAAATTCATGTTTTTTATAGATGTTATGCCCGATTATTAGACTTTGTTAATATATATATATATATATATATATATATATATATATATATATTGTTTTTTATTGAACACATTGAAATGACTTACTTGTAGATCATTCAATTCTGTAATCAAAGCTTGTGACTTCGGTCCTGGTATAGTTGTTTTAATCACTGGTCCATCAGGTTCACCGCTAACCAAGGATGTAGCGGTGCGGCACACTTAATACAAAAATAATAAATCACTTTAATTCATTTAAAAATTGATGAATTGAAATAACGATGATCACATCGTGTTATCAGACCTGTTGTGTTTGGGCTTTTGGTCCTGGCGAGAACCCGACGAGTCAAGTGTTTCAGCATCGTGGACGCGTCTGGCCTGGAGACGGTCGCCGTGTGTCGCGTCGAATGCCAATCCGTTCAATCGAAAGGAAAAGGAGGCGGCGGTATAACGCATGCGCTCAATACGAACGCATGTGCAATTCTTACTAGACAGTAGACACGGTCTACCACATGCGGAGTTGCGGACAAGTGGCCGTATGCATTTATAGATATATATATATATATATATATATATATATATATATATGTATATATATATATATATTTAGGGTGGTCCTTAATTTGGTCATTTTAGAATTTCCTTGCTCCCAAGGGCTCAAATGGTTCCAAATTGATAAAAAAACTAGTGGGACGCATGGCATCGTGCCTTAAGGCAAATTGCTGGAACTTTCCGTACTAAAAATTATTATTTTTTTAAAAAGATTAACATTGTTGAAAAAAATTTACTTCAAAAAAATTAGATTTTTGAGAAACTATAAATTTGACAAAAAATTACTTTTTTTTGAAAAAAAAATGTTTTCTTTCTTTTGACATATTTTGGAAATTCTGAACTTTTTTCCAAAGCAATCGTACTGCTTTAACTGCATAGAGACGAAATATCGAAGCGCTGGTACGGAACCCATAGGAATGTAAACAAAATTTATATTCATTATTAAAATCTCTATAAAATATCTGATAATTTGATGTGCATATGTCTAATGATCATTTTTGACCGACTAATGGCAACCACTAGACCTGCCTTTATGAAAATTTGATCAATTCTTCATCTTGTTAATACAAGTAAAATGTTTTTTGAATTATTCAAATCGGACGCTCCGTTTTCTTAAAAACTGGGCTACCGTTTTTGGCACTTTTTGCCCCATATCTTCGTAAAGATATATAAAAATTTTCATTTTCGATTTTTTTGCGATTACTATAACTTGCCCTACGGGAAGTTAACAATTCCCTGAAAGTTTTAGCTCTTAATATTGTCTTTTAGATAGTGCGCAATTCAATCAAACTTCGTAGGGAAATAGCATGGAAAAAATTAAAAAAAATAAAAAAAAAAATTGTTTAGGTATAACTTAGCGACAAATGAATTGAAAGTAAAAATTCGTATCATTTTTTTATTGAAAATTCGACGCTCTGCAAAATTTTAATTTTTTTTTCATGCTAATTTGCTCCATACAAAACTTTGATTAAATTGCGCTCTATCTAAACGTTAATATCGCTAAACTTTCAGAGAGCTAAAACTTTCATAGAATTGTTATTTTATCAGTTTGGAACCTTTTGAGCCCTTGGGAGCAAGGAAATTCGAAAATGTCCATATTAAGGACCACCCTAATATATATATATATATATATATATATATATATATATATATGTATATAAAAGCATAAAGGCTTCATACAGGTGTGTTTAAAACATTGTAAGTAACCTTATGGATACTGAAGATTGTATCGATTGTTCATTTATATCATATTTTGGTTGGTCGCCGTTAATGCAACCAAATAACGACTTTTTCTTTTGTACCTTCAAAGTATTAGTAATCAATAGTAGTTGGATCACTGCATAACGAAGCGTTATAAAAACCAATACCCCCATCATATTTATCAGAAAGTGCAGTTCTAGCACTTCGAGCACATGTGTGGCTAAAACAAATTTTAGAAGGGACATTTGTATTTATGGTGTAGGAATTGCAAATCAAAATATTTGATTAATAATTAAATATAAAAATATGAGCAAATTATTATATGAATAATCACAAAATCTTAAAGAAAAATCAAAACTAATAAATTGATTTATCATATGGAACTTGAGCATAAAACTCCTTGAATGGTCAATAGGATAAATTGGAAGAATGAATGATAAAGAAATTGCTAAAACATTCTAACATAATATACTATAATAAATATAATGTAATAGATAATACTGACAGCAGGGCGTAGCGTTCATTGTCGGCCATATTTCATAAAATAAAAAAATATATACAATTAAAAGAAATATGCATATATCATTTTCCACAATTCCCACAAACCATTCAAATTTAATATACACGCTTATTAAGTCATTTATGACCGATGATGGCTATAATTTTTAACTGCTAAGTAGGTTCTAAATAGATGCTAACTAGAATCTAATGAGCTTTTAACCTGATACTGACTAAATCCCAACCAGATTATGTCTAGGTTCTCATAAGATTTAATGTAGATTTTCCCCAAATTCTTACTAGAATCATTTCCGACTAGATTCTAGGCCCGCATATGTTTATCACGAGGGCCTTGCAAGATTCTTATAGGATTCCTTCTTCCAGAATCGTATCATATTATAAGAATTTGATTAGATTATTGGTAGAATCTTATTGTATTTCTGCCATAATCTCATTTTCATACTATTAAAATCTTATTGGATTCTTGACGGCAACTTTTCGAATTCTTATTACATTCGATAGGTAAGGATTGTATTCGTTTATCACGAGATTCTTACCAGGTTCTCACTATATCCATAGCGGACTCGTACAAGAATACCTCAATTATTTTGCTATACCATTGGACCCATTTAGCAAACTATTTAATGAATCTCAAAATATTATATTGTCTAAAATGCCTAAAAAAGGAGCTCACACTGGCAGTCTAAAAAAAACGAGCCCATCAAAATTTCCCATCAAAATTTTGCTTCCGACGCCACTAATGACAACAATATAAAGATATAACAATAACAATATAAAAACTAGTGGTGTATGGCATCGTGCCTTAAGGCAAATTGCAGAAACTTTCCGTACCGTAACGAAATGTTCTAAGAATATTAAATGTTTTCTAATAGATTATTATAAATATATAAATTATATAAACTGAATTGCAAAGTTGAAAATATTTGTTTAAAGTACACCTAAGTCTGTTTTTACACGGTCTTTTTGTACACGGTTTTGATATAACACGGTTTGAAAATTGAATATTTTTAATTTTTTTACACGATTTTATTCCATTTAGCACGATTTGAAATTTTATGTACTTAAATTTTTTTGTCAAATTCAATTTTTGTGAAGTATGTTCATATCACAAAAAAGTACTTATGTAAGAAAAAAGTCTGAAACCATCTATAGTATCGATAGTTTGCGAACACTAGCTTAAAGATTTAAGTGAATTCCCCTTTAGCGCGTACAAACAATTTTTACTGGTCAAAGCAAATGTGAATAGCACTAATTTAGGGGAATTATTATTAAAATAAACATGAATTCTTGTTCTTGAAAATTCTTGTTTTTCACTAATTTTAATAGGTTTTAGAGAGTAGGACAAATCACCCATTTTTGTATAAGATCAATGTCTTTTTTTACACTTTTTTTTTTACACGGCTTCTTCTGGAACCAATCTCCGTGTAAAAACAGACTTAGGTGTATATTAGAATTTAAGTCAGAATTACAATTAAAATCTGAATTATTTACGATATTTTGAAAAAAAAATGAAACAAATTTTTTTTTCCCAAATTATTTTGTTAAAACAAGCAGAAAGTTCTTTGAATCATTCAAATCGGACGCTTGGTTCCCTCAAAAACAACCATTTTTTGCACATTTCGCTCTGTATCTCCGAAACCGCTGGACTTGTCTTTGCCAAAAAATAATCACCACTTTTCTCCGTCATTACAAATTGAATGTTTTTTTTGGATCATTCAAATTCGATGCTCCGATCTCTCAAAAACTCGATTTCTATTTTCTGCATTCTTTGCTCCGTATCTCCGAAACGGCTGGACTTGCCTTTGCCAAAAACTAATCAGCACATCTCCCTATCAATAAGAATAGAATGTTTTTTGAATCATTCAAGTCGGTTGTTCCGTGCGTCCGAAAACGTGGACGAAAAATTGTATCCATACATACATACATATACACACACATCCATTTTTTCTGAGGTATGCCAAAATGTTCAGAAACTCAAAACGTGAAGAAATGTAAAAGTTTTAAATTTCGATTTTTTGACGATTACGATAACTTACACCACGGGAAGTTAATAACATCAATTTATACACCTATTGACATTCTGAACTTTAGAATCTAAAGAATGAAATGAAAAGATAAAGAAGAAAATTACATGATTCATATTATTATAAGAAATAAATGAATGACTTAATTCATCCATTCCATAAGAGTGTTTACTAATGGCAATTAGTAGAAATCGAAATTGAGCCTAAATCATGAATCACTTCAATTAGGGGGAAAAATCCTGATCAGAGACGGAAAATGCACATGAGAGATCAGGGCAAAGATAGTATGCACATGGAGGCATACACGAAAACAAGAACGCTACTTGCGAGGCTGATCTCGACTTGCGGAAGAAGCAAATAAAGTGTTATGTTTGAAGCATTGCTCCATACAAATCGTAAACATGGACTCGGCAAAAACCACCCGGAGAGCTTTTAAATGTAGTGATGGGGGCAATGGAGAAAATGAAATACATACAGATTAATAAATGAACAGGTGCTGAAAGAAGTGGGCAAAGAAAGAACTCTACTGAGCACGATCATAAAAAGGAAATAAACTGGATCAGTCCCGTATTCTAAAAACTGACTACTGCACGATGTCGTTGAAGGTAAAAGAGAAGAACTGAAAGGTATAGGAAGAAATCAGCATGAAAGCATAAGTTTGCAAAAAAAATGTATGTATGCTCGTTTTCATACACTTCTATAGAAATATGAATAGTAATAATAATGAAAAAAGGCGTAGAAATAGGGAATTAATTAAATGTGGTAAAGGTAAGGCTACATAGCAGGTAACATTCTGTTCTCACACACTTACCTGCTGCCACCGGGCAAAGCACCAAAAAAATAATAATTAGAAGACAACCCAATGGCAGTCGTTATATAACTGTGATATTTTTACTTTTTCCGGCAATACCTGGAAGGACTGCTTTCTCTTGGAATTAAGAAAGAAATAAACACGATTTCAATAATTAAATGTTTATTTTTCACAATTATGTAAAATTTTTGCCATTTGCTGGCATTGACTGTAGGTTTTGAAAGTATTTATTTTCCACACACATCTGCTATGCAGTTATCGTCGTGAGGACTACTGATAAATCTAATCAAAGAATTAAAATTTAATTTAAACCTAATTAAAGATAAAAGCGGATTTTGAAGTTACAATGATTTTTTTTTTTCAAATAAAAACGAAGCTAGAGAGCTATTCGAAAGTTTTCGTTGTTTTTTCGGTCATGGACTGTTTTTACCAACTTTATGTTTGAGAGATTATGAAATCCTCTCAGAAGATATTAAAGCCAGCAGGAAAGCCCACCCCCCAGTTAGTTTCTGGAAATATTTTTGCTACTCTTCACCCACATAACATATTTGATTCAATTGACGGATCGAGAGATTATTTCAAATTTTAAATGCTATTATTTATAGAATATCTTTTATTCAAAAGCTGTGATGCAATCAAAATCAATCACTCAATAAGTTTATCACTTTTGTTGAGGCTAGAGTTACATTTAGTGCTTTAGAAATTATTGATCAAGTAAAATATGTTTTACAGTATGTGTACATACAATATTTGATATCCAAAATAAACTGCTATATTGCATACTTTATTTGTAGTTTAATAACCTGATTGATTATTCCTATAATTACAGCCCGATAGTTCGGTACCAATACCAACCAATGCAGGTTTCGAGCGCGCCGGACTAATGGAGTTTTATTGTATATTAATAACTATGTAAAAAAAAAAAAATAGAAAAGTATAAATAAATATATATATAAATACTAAGCATATTTTTTTTTTTACAAACAGCATGATAAAACTTGATAATCGGAATAAAATTTGTGTTATAAACTTGCAATAGCACAATGTTGGTTTAATTAGATATTGATACCAGAAGTAGAAGTATTTATTGTACAAATATTTGAAAAACATTCCAAACATGACATTAAAATTTTTCTGGATTACCACAAAAATATCAAACTTAGCATGGTTATTGCAAAAGTGATACACTGAAAAAGAAGTAAAGAACATGTAACAAATGAATTAGTATCATTAAATTAGGGTCAAGATTTATTCAAAAGAAGTTACTACAATGTAACATAATATTTACAATGACTAAGGTACAATTATAAAAATAATGAAAATAAAAATTTAAATTATAAAGTAAAAAAAAATTACAAGGAACGCATTGTTCATAAAAATTTAAATAATTACATGAACCATTGTACAGAATATAAGTTACATGTAGAAATATTTCAAACCTATGATTAAATTTTGTAGTCAAGTTATACATACTAATTGATTTGCCCTCTACTAAACAATTTCTCGGCTATATAATTTGCATTGCATGGTACGTCATCTAATGAGAAGTAAAGTTTAGAAAAGAACAAAATACAGCTAAGCTAATCCTCCATACTTTCATTCCTGTCAGGTGTACTCTCATTTTTGGAAGGAGAGACTGAACGCGACTTAGATTTACTGTTTGCCTTGCTACCAGATCGAGAACGGGAACGAGAACGATCCCTGAAAAAAAAAAATCATGTAAATGTTTCTAGTTTGAACCCTTCATCAAAAACAAAGCAATGAACTATGAAGTGATGCTTACCGTGATAATGATTTGGCTTTAGACTTTGAAGGTGATCTAGAATCGTCGCGCTTAGCCGAAGGTGAACGCGAGCGCGATTTAGATTTAGAACGATCATGAGATTTCCTGTAAAGAAATTATATTTAACTGAAGGTGTATAAACCTTTTAAACTGTAAATATCTATTCATTAATATTGAATTAAATTCTTTTATATTATTAGGTTGGCAATTAAGTGCAGTTTCTACTCTTACTTGATTTTAATTGAATTTAGGTTTACCGAAGTTCAAATGTAAAATATTTTTTGTTACTGAAAGTGTAAAATTCAGCTCTTAATTTGTAAAAAAAATGAAATATTTCCTTTATACCTTAGGTACGCATCATAAGCTCACAATAAGCTATGAGCTGTTGAAGGTGACGAAGCATTAAAAAAAAATGGCAGTGCCAAAATTGATTTGTCGAATTTTGTTCTGGAGATTTTCCGCTTAAAGATGAAAAAACCTCTGGTCGTCCAGTTGGTTGATAAACACGTAGAAGACGGCACGGCCACCGCTTATAAATGAGATCATTGATCACTTTTGGTGCGGTCCCCACGAGCAAACGACAATTTTTGTTGCGGTTTTCAAAAGGGAATTGCCTATTTTGAACCGTAAATACCAACCGAACGATGAATTCCGATGTCTACATTAAACAAAATTAAACAATGCAGTTGATAAAAAAAAAGGCAACCTGAATTGTCAAATATCCCTTATTATCCCTTATTGACATTGGATATCTTTGGCACCTCAGTAATAATAATTAGAGCTGGGTGGGATGTTTTGTCACATCCAACATACAGTCCAGGCATCTCAGTACTTAATGATTCAATACTTACTAAACACCTTGAATTAAAAAAAATCAATAACGATGGTGTCCAATTGTACCAGATTCAGTTTTCTGTTAACAAAAAACTGATCTTTTTTGTGAAAGTGGGAAAAAGATGCTGCTTGAGCAACAAAAATCAGTAATTAAAATGGATAAATCAATTCAGAATAATGTTATTTAGTTCTATGAAAAAAGTATTTGATTTTCTATCTAAAAATCCGTACTTCATTGCCAACCTGATATATAGAAGTAATATAATTCTGTTTATATTAGAATATGACAGTAATTCTATACTATTACACATCATTATCAGATTTTAACTTACGCATCGCGCGATCGGGATCTAGCGGGAGATTTGCTCTTGGACTTTCCACGAGAACGGCTACGAGATCGAGAACGGGATGACCTAAAAAATATTTATTTAGTACATCGAAATAACTTTCTATAGTTGTACACTAAACAACTGTGTGGTACTCAGGCACTTGAGAAATTAATATCAAAACAAAAATTTAATGAAATATAATAAGATATAAATGAAAATAATCACTAATGCCATTGCTTTCAAACAGTAAATGAAATATGATGTATGAGAATTGTAAATGCAAATTTAAAAATTTAGTTTTACAAGAAATTGTAAATTTAGAAATACAATAAATGTATTAGAATATTTATCATACATTTCTTATAAATTTAAAGTCAAACTACTAGAAAAATAAATATAAAAGGGAGGAATGTTATTAAAATATACTGGCTAGTATTGCTCAAGAATGACATCAGTGGCTTATAAATAAGATGAAATTTTTGAACGCCATATTATTTAGTAGCCAACAATTGTTTTGTTATTTGTACAACCTGGACCTTGAACGAGATCGCCTGCGAGATCGAGACCTGGAGCGACTGCTGGAAGATCTTGACCTTCTACTGCCACGGCGTCTGTCTTCAATTAATCTAATTCTGCGCCCATTCAAATCAGTGTCATCTAATTTCTCAATAGCAGTCTTCATGTCAGCAAGAGTTGCAAACTCTACCACTCTGAAAAGAAAGTCTGTTAATACCTCACAGCAAAAAAGAGTTCACTACAGTACATGGTAATCAAAATTTTTACTTTGAAAATATAAATATGATAATTACCCTTCATTACGGCGTTGTTTATGGGCGTCAGCATAAGTTACTTCACCAGCTTGACGCATATAATCCTTCAAATCCTATAAAAAATAAAAATATAATTGATATTTATTTAGTAATATTCCAAATGCAAGATATGTCAAAATTGATACAAATGTACTATTCATTATTCAGTGCTAATAAAATAGACAATTACATATTTTTTTTTGCGAGTCTTGCAGTTCACTACAAACATGGTAAACCAGTAGCATAAAGTATTAAGTATCAAAGGTTTTTGAATTTTTAAACATTCGAAAAAAAAAATCATTCCGCAATTAAATATTTACAAACTTGTGCCTAACCAAAGTTTTGTACCAGGTTGAGTGTATTCAAAATAGAGGAAATGTATGTACGAACTGATTAATACAACGAGTATTAACAGTTATATAATATACATTAGATTCTTTTGTGCATTTATTTGTTTAATTTCATATGAATATGTATTTAGCTCATGCTGTATTTTATCTGCACTCTTATGGTTTAATTAGTTTCAGCTGTTCTCGCAATGACATATTATAATGAGTGTATCTGATTTCATTAGCTGTACATCCCATCCAGAAGGCCGTTGACTCAATTGGTGTCTCTTTCAGCAATAATCCATATCGGCATTGTCTCTCATTCAGATCATTATTTCACATATTCTTCCATCCATTTCAAGATCCAGTAATATATCCAACTCTTCACATCCATTTTTCTCAGAAGTCTGTCAATCCGTTTCCTCAGCACATGACATGCACTAATAGCCCATCGTTTGTAATTATGTGTATAGCATCTAGTAATTTATTACAGCAAAGCACAACATATGTACCTATTACTATAAAATATATCAATGTTTCCCAACTGTTCGTAATATGGCCAATGTGTTTGTACATACATATATACATAAAAATTTTACTACATCATTGGACAGAACAAATTTGAAGACCCTGGCAATATTGTAGAATTTTTCTATTTTGCTGAATACGAAGGCTGAGACAAATTTTATTTTGTGAGATTAAGTACAAACTTAAATAAACTTATAAAGTTTATATGAATTGAAGTAAAAACCCACGAACCATTTTGCATTTATTTTACTCAAGTGTATATATGTATGCATGCAAATAAGTAAATAAAGTAAGTTCAATTATCTTTAAACATCAAATAGTTAAAGTGTCGCTGAACATTTGCACATGCTTCTAATTTCAATTGCATGGTTGGGAACCACTGCATAGGGGAAGTTAAAGTGTAATATATACATTATTCTGAAAATAATCGGCCAAAATAGTAAATGAATATTAAAACCAGATTTCTGACAGCGTCATTCATGTTTTACCTTGTGGCAATCCCTAGAGTTTTCATATAAACCCTCAAACGCCACAAGAAGTGGTAGATAGGTGTGGCGGTAGTTGTGGCCATCTCAAGTAATTCATTTGACAAGCCCGAGAGGCTACACACATAACCGAGAAGTGGATGGTACCAAACACTAAGTCACTTTAGACTGCCAGACCCTGGGGATCCACACATCAGAATCGCACTAATCCATTGATGGCCACTCACATGATAGGGGACGGAACTCTCAAAAGCTCTTCGAAAAGAACATTTTATTCAATTTTTATTTTAAAATAATTCTAAAATATTGTATACTTTTAGTTTGTTGCCTAATTCAATTCTATGTAATAGTACACTTTTTGTAATACATATTTAACATGCAAACTGAATTAAAAAAAAACGTAAAAAAATTTCAAGACTATATCGAGTGATGTGTGCGCCCATGTGTGGTGGTGATGGAATTGACATCTCTGCCCTCGGTAGACTACTCACAGTCACCCCGACTTTTTATGTTTTAGATCTATATCTTCATTGAGTTATGACAGCCAGTTTCATCTTATCCAAAGAGATACACCAATATGCAGTCAACTACTGATCTAAACTTATCCAAGGATGAGGGAAATGGACACCATTCATTAGTAAAAATCTTACCTGCCAGCTCACTCTACTTGAAAGATTTTCCACTGTCAATCTATATTCAGTGCGTGTTGGAGGGCCATACCTAAAAGCACAAAATATCATCAATCATCAAAAAATAAAAGCAATACTAGTGAATACAGAACATGCAACACGTATTTGTTAAGTAACATTCAGAAAGTTGAAAGGAAATAGCTTTTCTGTATTACTAATTAAGTGAGATTACAAATTACATACACAAAGCAATAATTAGCCAAAATAAAGATCAGTTACATGAGAGCAGGGATTTAGCAAGTGTAAAAAATCCCAGGTGTTGACAAAATTTATATAATAAGTTATAAAAACTTTTATAAAAAATAGAAGAAAAAGGTGTACACAGAAAATAATTCTGTAAAATAATTACTTAGAAAATTTTAGTGAAAAAAAATTAATTTATGTGATGACATGCAACTGAGCACCTCATTCTGTCATAGGGGCACCCCACATATAAGTGCATCGTTAACGTTATTATAAATTGCATATTCATGTTAGACATTGAAAACTCTAGAATCAGGACTGTATTGTATGTCTTCACAAACTTAACTATTTTATAGTATGACATTAGGTAATTAAAATATGTATAATTACCTTTCACGAGAGCGGTCATTGTTGTAACTGCAAAAGTACCAACAAATGATTAGTGAAAATACACACAAAAATCGAGCAGTCTCCCATATATGAATAATTGAAAGAGAAAAGCGCGATTATTATTTACAATAAAAAATAGGCCGAGAACAAAAATATTAAATAAAAATTCCAAATTTAGTTGATCATTCAATATCGATAATAAAATTTTAATTTTAAGAGGAGTCATATAGATTTAAAAAAAAAACTTATTCAGAATTTAAATGTTAATAGATTTGAATTCAGCTCTAAACAGCTTACTTATCGCGACTCCTCCGTCTTTGAGGTGGATATTTCGAACCACCCCTTCGGTCATTACGCCATTGGTCACTTCCTCTGGGGGTGCCCCGTGCTCTCTCTACAGACACTCTGTAAAAGCAAACGGAAATAACGTGAAAACATTTCCGTTCTCAGGAAAATATAAAACGAGGCTTACTTGTCTCCATATCGCCCACGACGACCAAATCTGTCGTCATAGCGATCCCGCCCATATCCGTTGCCTCGAGCATGACCACGTGCTGCTTCAACTATCACTCTGAAATTTGATATTATAAAAATGCTCAATCATGACAATTTTCATTACAGCTCCACATCAGGCTCCCCACAACTGTCGGTCTAATTGGCCACCTGTCATTCTAATGGGAGGTTACGGTAATACAACAGAGCACATGCTTTTGATATCACCAAAAATGTCAAAAACATAGAATAAAATTTGATAAAATGGCATGTGCTCTTGTAGTACAAAACCTTCCAATTACAAATATATAAAATTGATGAAAATATGAAACTGTAAGTAACTATCTCCGAGCTCTGGAAACTTCAAATAACATGATAACATGAAAAATGATGAATGCATGATTGATACGATAACACTGTTCCACACACAATAGAAGAATTGGAAAAATAGCTAAAATACAATAATCCATATTCTCCATATGCGTAACTTATGGAAAGTATAATTGTACAAATGCTGCTTTGCATGTAATAAATTTATTGCATGAAATTAAAATAACATGCAATTAACTTACCTCTCTCCAAGTAGCTCTTTGCCATTTAGTTCATATACTGCATCATCAGCATCTCTGTAGTCATCAAACTCCTATAATAAAAGTTAAAGATAAAAAAATTATAACAGCCTATAAATAAAAAGAAATGTTTTTAATGTAGAATACTTACTACAAATCCATAACCATTCTTGATCAGAATGTCGCGAGTCCGTCCATAACCCTTGAAGAATCTCTCAAGATCTCTCTCTCGAACACCATAAGGCAGACCACCAACATAAACTCGGGAGCCAACCATTTTTGCCTACTATTAAAAGAGTGAGTAAGAAATAACTATTTGTAAACATACTAGTATAATTATGAAGAAAATTATAACTATAAACTTTACGTTCAGCACAACTAGTTTAGTTGTACCAAAATTCAATTTACAACCAATACAGTATTCAAATTGAGTCTAAATAAACAACAAAGCCTTTATAATACCTCACAAATGCAGAGTTCTCATATTTTCAATCAATTACAATATTGAATAGATATCACAAGAAGATTCTTTGTAGAACAAAAATGAGGAACTAAGTACATATCTAGCATATGCCGAGTTTTTCAATAAAGAAAACAATGCTGATTAAACTCTCAGTAGCATTACAAACAAAATTTATAAAAAAGGAAACAAGCTGTATATATATAGCTCAGATGGTGATATATATGCTGATTAAACAAAATTCTTTTTAAACAGACATCCACCAAAAATAACAATTAAAAAAAAAACAAGTTATATTTCTCAAAATAATTTCAATGGATATCCATATATTTTGAGTCCCAATTTGGCTCTTCTTCAATGGACAAAACTACAATAAACAATAAATACATGAGTAGATCAAATTTATTGTAAAATGAACAATAAAAAAAAATATAAAGTGAAGTGAAAAAGTTTGTTGTTTATTATTGTTTTTTCATAAATATGGTTTCTTATTTTTAACAAAAAAAAAGCTGATGATGGAACGTATCTAGTACCGAATCGTCATAATTGAACATCTAAATTTATTGGATTAATTGTCTGTAAAAAATATCAATTTATTGAAAAATCCAGGACATTATATATATATATATATATATATATATATATATATATATATATATATATATATATATATATATACTTTGAATGCAATGCATATGAAAAATGCGGACGCATCGTAGTCAAAGGGGCGCCATAGAATAACCGAGCTATAGAATACTTGGTAGTAACTAAAATAAAATAAGACTAAATAACTTTCATATAATTTTAATGACAACCTGTAAAAACAGGTAAAAAAATAGACGGGACGCCAGAGAGAAAATGAAATTCGGTGTTGAAAACCCTAGCACCGCTCATCTAAACATGAGAAATATCAATTATATTACATAAATATAATGTATGATTTGTACTATTGTATATTATATTATATAATAACAAGCCAAAACAATTCTATATGAAAAAAATTAATTTACGACTATTCTTCCGAAATTCGTAAACATTAGATAATGGCATTATTTCTATTTAAGAAATATGAATTTTTATACAATAATTTTCCATTATGAGATATGGAACAAGTTCGTTCTGGCATTCCTAACCAATTATATCTGAACAAATTATTTAGATGGGCAAACTTCCTGTTATCAGTAGCATTGGTATATTATGAGTATATCAGCACATGTGTGTGTATTAGTATATCTAGTTGATATTGAATGAAGTACACACAAAAGCAAAAATTTTCCAGCATATTTAGCATGTACATGAATGGATTATTAATAAAAACCATTAACTTGATAAAAGCGAACATAAAGTATGAGAAATAGAATGCGGCAAAATAATATCTAACCTTTTGTTGAAAATTTATTTGCGCACTTCTGCTCCAAAAATTAAATGTATATACACATATATATACTATATACACTTATTCTTCAAGCACAAACATCAAAGCGGCATCAAAGGAATACATGCCGACAAAACACGCGCCCATAATGCAATACAGCCTCGATACTAAATGCGCATTTAAACTAATACGACGAACTTTATATACACAAACAATTTTCAATACACACGCCGAACCAGCGTCATTTGTTTAGTAACAAATTTATAATAATTCCACTTGTTTTAACGATGAATGATGTTTAGAAATATAAAAAGCCGAAACACGTCGGCAAAAACAAAGATGTCGGCCACATGCACTTAATTACTACATAATACTGATATCATGATATATATAAATCGAAACTCACCTGATCTCTCACTAGGCAGCAGATAAAATGCACTTTAATAATACTTAATAATGATTATTAAACGATTATTAATATAATCACATTTACAGGAACATCGACTAAACAACGAAATCACCGTAGATAAATGACGATCTAACTCACTCCACAACGCTTGTCTCATACGCGCCATAGATTGCAAGTATTATCAAGATAGGACACGGAGCACAAATATTAATGAGCTTTAAGCGATCACTTCATGACGTACGCGAAATTTGAAATGTAATTGATTGGATATTATAAAACTTAAATATTCTATTGATGATATAATAACTCTACTATAGATCTAGAATGTTATTTACCAACATAATCACACAACAACGGACACAAAAATGCAATAATCTTAAATTCAAACTTGATTCAATTTTAACTGCAATATTTACTTTTTTAAATTGTATTCAAAATGTTTCTATTAAATATGAGCACATTCTTCAATAAAGATATATTGTTATAAGAAGATATATTGTTAAGAGATGCAAGGTAAGAACAAAGGTCATGATGCCTATATTCATAGATAGAAGAAAAATTTAAATGTAAAAAAAATCTTTATACATTTATATTTTTTTTCTAGCTGTAACTATAGGGATCAGGTCCTTTATTCTTACCTTGCATCTCTTATCTATTAGAAAATTTAATAATTTGGCAAGTCATTTTATCAGTAAATAACATATTAAAATAAAAATATTTAATAACTTATTAGAAAGTTTATGAAGCTTAATTTCTAACTCAATAAAATATATTACACGTACATTGATCATCTATAAACAATTTAAACGTACCCACAAATTAAAACGTCTCGTAAACTAAAAATTGAAATATAAACAAAATATGTTCAGCGAGTTTTTAAAAATTTCGGTAGAAGAAGGCTTGCCAACAGTTAATTTGTTCTAGGTTCTGTGTTTAGATTAAAATACACTGTGGTTTATGAATGCAATAGAAAAGTGAGTATCAGATTCAGCTCATAGATGGCAACGTAATGCCGTTTCTCCGTAGACCAATTCGTTTCTCGATTTAAAATGATATTGTAGAATATTATATGACCTTTTTTATGGCAGGCATGTAAGGTAGCTGTTTAATGATTTTATTTCTTGACATTCTTAAATCCCGCCAATATTTTCTGAAATACATGTAGTAAAATCCGGATATAGCGACCCGATCCGGATATAGCTGAGTCAACCCGGAAAACGAATTAAAAGGACGGAGATCCGAATCTTGTTTTTCACATATTTCTGTGAATCTTACAGTTGATGAATATATTTAATTAGGTAATAATTAATTAGTTAGTTAATCGATATATTAATATCAAAATATTAATTATTAGTTCATGGATATCATCAAACGTTATTGTATTGGGTAGAAGATAACTCAAGTTACAAAACAAAAAATAATAATAATCAATGCCAAATACTTAATTCAATTCTCAAAAACACTTATTTTGACTAGACAACAATTTCACATGTATTGTAATTTGATTATTATATTTAACAATTTTGTTTAAATTTAATGTGATTTTGCACAAGATGTAAAAAAGTTAATATAGATTCACCTAATTGTATGAATTTCTAGTATTTATTTATTGCCACTTTTACAATACAGAAGATAAGTCCCAAAAAAGGTAAAAAAGAAAAGTTTTGATAGATAAACAATATTTTTAAAAAATCAGGAATTATTCAAAAACATTGTTTCGAACATCTAACTTATATTTATGTTTAAAATTTTGTTCGTGACGATAGTATAATAAAAATATTGAAACAACAGATAGTTTTTATATAAAATAAGAGCAGCAACACAAGCAACAAAACTGAATCATAAAATTTAAAATTAACTAATAATATATATTTGAGTTAACAATTTTAAATGAGATACTTAAAATATAAGAACAAGTAATTGCAATTCAATAAATAAATTTATTTGCTCATTTGTTCTAAACTTTGTTACAAAATACATGCCGTTTATTTTATCTATGTGTGATACACACTCGCACCAAATATATTTGCCATTGAAGTATTCTTTTCTGGAAATAATTACCGAATATACAAGATGATATTCATACATTTCAGTATAACCATTCTTAACATCTGTACATGCAACCATACACACACAAATATGTAGGGTAGAGTGGGGCTTAAAGATCCGCGTTTAAAAAGGTATGTTTTAGGATCAATATTTGAAAGTCGAGGGAAAAGATGTATAACCAGCCTTCGCGTTGTTTCCTATGACATCGCTATCAGGAGATAAACGGCAATGTTTGAAAATTCGTAACATAAGTATTTTCTTTTGTTAGTTTTTTCGGTTGTGAGCGCTGTTGTTTTGTTTACGAGACTTTAATATAATTTTTAACTATATGTTATTTATTTGTTTTATAAGATATATTGTTAATCTTAAGTTAGATTTAAGAGATTTTATTATATAATCTCTACAAAAACCTATATATGAGTGGGGAAAAAAGGAACAACTGAAACTTTATCCTGGGAAAAATTTAAATAATAAAACAATAGTAAATTAAGTTTAAAAAAGCAATTTGAAAAGAAATAAATTAAATTAATATTTATTTTAACTCTGCTGCCAAAATACCAGATCAAGGTTAAATACAGAGTCATCTTTGTAAAAAGTGTGTAATTAAATTTATATTGAATTGTTTGAATGATATATGTAGCTATTATTTTGTATTAGCTTTAGATTTAAAATTATGATATTTTATCTGCTCGCCCCCTGACTGTCCCTTTTTACCTAGCCTATGGTAAATTTGATTGAACATAGTTCGATAATTGTTTTTTTGGCACGAGTTATTTGTTGTGATGTAGTTTCTTCGATTTAGGCAGTATAATTTCTTCAAAGTCAAATCGACCTTTGTGCTCCGCCCTACTCTATATAGATAGAAAGATAATTTATATTTCAAAGATAAATAATAAAAGTATTGGAAATGTTCAATGTTGGTCTAGTAGTAGTTGATATAGAAGTGAGGGTTATGTAAATCGAAGACGTCGGCGGTTACGCCTTGGAACAATACTCTGTGAATAAAATGATTGAAATAGTTGCGAGTTAGCCACAAGGTAAATTTGATCGTCGAGGGGAAATAAGGAGAACGCACCCGTGCGCAAAGTCTTAGCTCGTCACAATGTGCAACGGACCAGAAATCCGGCTCTTTGTTCCGGTGCAACGCCAAGCAATCCCGAACTGCTACCCGAAATCGAAATCGGGCTATCTTCCTCCTCTAACTGAATTCATAATAAACTTCTGGGCCAACTACGACTTTTGACTCGGAGAAACCTTTGAAAATGCGGTTCATGATGTGATATTCCGCTGGTGAGGCCAATATTAAACATTGCTCTACAAGACGAACAACTCCACTTGAAACGTATTTTCTTACATCTAAAGAATGGTGTATAACTTACTTTCATCAGTAAGGCATAATTTTTGCATTTTCTTTTTATTTCTTCAACGATACTTATAAATATTTTAATTTTAGCTAATACAAAATGTTCATAAATAAAATGAATTGAATTGTATAATAAGTAAAATACTGTATTATATTTTGTCAGTCACTAATATAATGCTTTTAATTTTGTACCACTGAATGACGAGCTTGATGCAAACCAAAACGTGTGGATAATAAACCATATGCTCAGAGTATAAGTATTTGTGGAGCAGGTTGTTTGCTATGCTATCATGATGCCGGACATCAACATTGACTTACCCCATTCTTTTTGCAAACATTTGAACATGATTTTTGAAAACAAAACAATCAATATATATTTATAAGTGAAAATCACGTTTCTATTCGATCAGCCCGGGGACAATTCCTAGTTCTAAACAGGAATTATTACATACTTCTGCAATCTTTTATATTCTTGATTTTGATATATTGCAGAGGTTATAATTGGTAAATATAAAATATTCAGGCTAGAATTTAGGAAAAACAAATATGGTAGGGCGAGGCCAAAGTCCAATTTAACTTTGAGTAATAATATTGTAAAAACCAAACCAATTATATATAAAAAAGTAATAATAATACTTAACAAACAACAACTATCAAGGGGAAAACAAGTCCACTGTGTTATTTAAATCAAATGGATTTTACAAAATAATAGCTATATTATTCCACCAATGCAAAATATAAATTTCATGGGTGCATTTTTTACAGAGATAACACTGTAAATAAGCTTGATCTAATATTTCGTCAGAAATATTCATCGGCATAGTTGGAATAACGATTTATTTAATTTATATATTGTAAAATTGCTTTTATTGACTGATTAACTTTTTTATTTACTATTTTTTATTTTTTACACCTTTGCCAGGGTAAAGGTTCAGTTAGTACTTTTTACCCCATCCAGATGTAAGCTTTTATAGAGGTTATATAAAAAAACCAGTGGCGTCGAAACCGCGTGGGCTGTGTGGGCTCAGCCCACCCATCAGTTTCAAAAAATTATATGTGGGCTAATATCTCTAAAAAAGAAAAAAAAAACGAGACCGCTGGCTGTCTATCTAAAAAAAAAAAAGAGCCCACCCATCAAAAATTTGGTTCCGACGCCACTGAAAAAAACTGTTGATTCTAACTTGAATGACCATTGTATCCTATGAAACAATTAAATAACGTATGCTTAAAAGTTATATTAAGGTCTCTGAAACGAAGCAACAGTGCTCACAATCAAATAAAATAACAACAAAAAAAACACTTTTGTTATGGATTTTCACACATTGTCGTTTTTCTCCTAATAGCGACGTCGTAAGAATCAATATGATGGCTTATTATATATCTTTTTCCTTCTACTTTCCATTATTGTTGTTAAAAAAATCTCAACTTTACTGGTTTTTGAGATATCGATGGAGGACTTTTAAGTCCCACCATATCCCAACAATAAGTAACATTTTATTTATATCATTTTGTTTGAGTGCATCAATGTACAATCGGTTACTTATAATTCTAACAAAGATATTTTTTATAGACTCAACATTCGTATAACAAAAGTTATTATTTCGTATGTTTGAACCAAGTACCTACAAGCGATGTAACAAGTCAAGCCATAACCGAAATCCTTATCTCGTCTGTTTGCTTTGTAATTAGTGTAGGTCCTTATGTTAGTTTAATATCATAGATATCGACAGACGCGTAGCTGCCGCGTTTAA